GACGTTTGTACAATTTCGTGCTGTATAGCCCTAAAAGTCGGCTACACCCAGCCTAGTCCCAGGCTCTCTCTCTATTCGCTGCTTTGATATATTTAAATGAGTCTTAAAAGTTTTATGCCTGGGTGTGCTGTGCGGAACGCTTCAGCGAGAAAGCCTAGCAGATTTCGGTAAAATGGTCCCTGATTTCAAAAAAGTGGTCCCTGGCCTGGTTACAAAGCATACCGCATTTGTAAATAGAAAATGTTATGGAAATTTCCTTTGCGTTTATATAATTAAGTCATTAGTTCTGCTCTAATGCTGTCGGAACAATGAAATAGGCTACGTTTCGCTACCATACAGTCAGAATGGAATAACGGGCTAAATATGACTTGTGTTTACTAAAATATAAAGCCATATTAAATGATATCTAGAAGCTTGAAAATTATGCCGAGTCTCCGACTAAAAATGTTTTGACAACACAGTCATGTGAGGCAAATATTTCCAATCTCCTCAGCTACTTAAAACTGTCAACTAGAAAGCGTAGTTGTGTATACCAGTATCATGGTCTAGTGTTGATCACAACTTGCGAGTATATAAATATCATCAACGATTATACGACCATTGCTCAGACTCAGTATCGTAAATTTGTATATATTTTTTAATTGAGACATTTTTAATAAGTTTGAATTTGGTTATAGACATGAACATGATCAACGAACATTGTCGTATTTATACAAGTTATTTGTATATATATTAAAAATACTGAAATCTGCTAGGCGTTCTGAAGCACCTTTAGCGGTGACGTCACACCTAGGTCCCAGTCTCGTACTACATCCACGTTTTCTCGCGCTTGCTTCAGAACGACTGGTACTAGGCTGGGCTATACCAACAAAAATAAATTATACACTATTTAGAATCACGATAATACAAAAATATACTATACTCTTCTTCTACAATCAATATTTCGCATAAAATTATTTTTCATATTTTCAAACAATTTAATTTCATTGGTGAAACGAACGTTATATTTGCAAGTCTCAAAAAGATGGAGTTGCTATGGTTAGAGGTAATTATCTGTACTTTTTATTTCTCTGTACTCTGTTATTACATGTTGAACAAAACTTTTCAATACACCTTAATTGGTGCTACAAAGAACAACGAAACATTCCTGGTCTTATGAGAGATTCGAACTTAAATTTCGGTTTTCTTGTTTCTAGTGCTCTACAGGGTGTATCAAAATAAACGCAATTCATCTTTTGTGCTTAATAACTTTCGAAATACTGTTTCTAGTTAAACGCTTTTAGGCTTACTTCAAAGCCTGTTCTTTTCTCTTTCAAACAAACTATTATTCTTGTCTCCAATGCTAGTAATTATTGCACAGGAAAAGATTTAGTAAAACCTATCATTTTTAGTTGCTGTTTAATTATGCAAGTTTAGTATGTTATTGTTTAAGTTGTTTAGTCGGTTTAAATGTTAAAAAACCACGTAAGAACAAATTAAAAGTACTTTAAAAGAGACCATGCAGGTTGTTTGAGAATCCTAAACGAATGCTAAAAATCGTCAAAACATTCTGATGTCTGAGCCAGAGTGTCATCGAATTGCGATGTAATGTAAACAGAAATTATAGCAAGTTGATGTCAGTCAGCTTAGATGGTCCAAGCCAAAATTATATCGCATTTGAAGTTTCAAACTGAGTTAAAAATAGTGGAAGAAAAGCCTTAATTATACTTATTGTTACAATCCATTTAATAAAATGAAACATTTTTTTGTTTTAATGAAAAAATTAGTTATTTTCATGAGAACGATTTGTTATTCCATCTCAATTTTTTTAATCTCCAATCACAATAACGTAAAGCATTATTACCCGCGAACCAATGAGTCAAATTTAAGAAACAACCCACTGTTAGAAAGCTGAATGGCTACGCTTTAAAATGAATGTAAACTTTAACGTTTTCGTTTATTTGTTTAGCAATTTACATTTCAGTCGAGGATTGCGCTTTTTTTTATACACCCTGTATACCCATGGAGCTATACAGGATGTATAAATTAATTAATTGCTTTTCCTTTGTTATGCATTGTTTTATTTAGGCACAGAGATGAAAATATGCGATTCTGACTAACATTTTTTATCGGACTCGTACTTGCTTATTTTTTCTCAACTAATATATCAGTTAATGCACCAATTCGTTAAGCAAATATTCTAAGACAATTAAGAAAACAACTATGACACACACAAGTTGTGGGAGAAGGGTTCAACCAGACTTGCAAAGTCAATTCCAATACTGTATATTACAACATATATATGTGCCTGTAATAACATAACCAGTAACTACTCCATAATACTTTATCTATAACACTACATGAATTGCATTTCATGTGAATCTTGATGCCGGATTGCATATCAAAACAATATTTACAGATTCTTATTTATTATTTCACAGATTGACCTTTGTACCAGACCTTTGTACTCCAGGAGACTTTGCACAACTTTACTCTTGTCCCAACGCTTGTTTCATTAACTTAAGTTTATAATAATGTTTTCGTGGCGACGTATTGACATCCTTATCAATTAGTCATGCTTATCATATATGTCAAGCTTTGCATAATTCAACTATCGTCATGTAATTTACACTGTACAATTTTGTAATGCACACATGTAATTTGCATGTATGCATTTTTATGTACCGGAACTAGTATTCACGTTGTGGATTAAATAAATAAATATTATAAACTGAAAAACAAATTGGTTGTTTTAAGGTTACAGGACACCCTTTTTGGCGTTTTGCGGAAAATCGCTACTGCGTGCTCAATATCAGTCCGATTTTCATCAAATTTTCACCAAATGTTCTCCAGTGCATGCAAAATATGGTAAAGTTGTAAAATTAACAAACAATAAAATAATGTAAGAATTATTCAGGAAAATCTTAAATCGCGGTACCTTTACGCTTTGAGTTGTGCTCCTGCTGGTTTTAAGTTATATTTATGAAAATATCATTTTTATACAGTAAAATAGTTGTTCTAAAAAATTGTGTTCGGAAATTTTTGTTTATTTCGTCGTTCCGCTGATATGGCGATTTCTTTGACGACTGCAATATATTTTTGAATTGTTTGAGTGAATTGCTCTTTATTTTTAAAATATCCAAAATTTAAAAAAAGCCGAACACAATTTTGAAACGGACGTATTTAGCTATGTCCTGTGAAAATTTGAGAAAAATTGGTTAAAACCCGCAGGAGCACAACTCGTATGAAAATCAGTAATTACCGTAAAATTTTTCGTGAGAAAATTGAATTTGAATATTACATTTTCAATGTTTTTCTTATTGCAGCGAAATGTATTTTATTAAATAACTCTGCGAGTTTTCAACATTTTTCGTTCAAACTTGGTCAGGTAGTAGAACTAGTCTAATGCTTTCATTGAAACCAATGAAAAATTTTTAGGCAAAATTAACACTCAAAGGTGTTCTGTAACCTTAATAGAGGGTGGCCGCTCAATGGAGGGCCGCTTAATAGAGGTTGGACTGTATTATGATTTTTTCTGTGTTGGTGTTGTGTACTCAGGTGAATATGATGTTTGTGATGTTACTCTGAATGTATATCCACACAGGACAAGCTTGAAAAATATGCCTGGCCACGGTGGGAATTATACATTTTTCGGGCATGCTCCCCATGTGAACCATTCGGTGACGTCTTACACCAAGTCGATCCCAGTAAGGATTTCGCGGAGTATGATAATAATTATCCGGTTCCAGGTTTTTGGACCTGGAACTGGGTCCCCAATCGCTGCTAATATTGTTGTCGTCCTCGTGGTCGTCGTCCTCGTGGTTATTATTATTATTATTATTATTATTATTATTATTATTATGAACTATATTTCAACACGGTACAATTTCACCTATACTAAAATTAATTATGTACAAGATATAAAAAGAAAAAAAGGTGATCTTCCAACTGGCCGTGCTCACACAAACAGAAATAAGAAATAATTACAAGAAAATTATTTTAGGTAGATGGAAACAATGGCAGGATCACTTGATGTTAATTTGCATGCTTCAAGTTAGATTTAAAATTAGCAATAGTTGTTGATGCTTTTACCGATGCAGGAAGGCAGTTCCAGACTTCCGCACCTCTGTAGGAGAATGCATTTTTCATACTATTTGTTTTTGGTTTAGGCAATGTCAAATCGGCTCCCGACTGTCTTGTGTTATGGTCGTGTACATCACCAACATTTGTGAACATATCACACAAGTAATCGGGGACCAATTTGTTTTTCACCTTGTACATGAGAATTGAAAGTTGTTGCATTCTTCTTTTTTCGAGGTTCGGAACTTTTAGCTTGTTTAATATATCAACCGATCGTGTCGTATAATTCTCACGAGTGATTATTCGAAACGCTCTGTTTTGTAATTTTTGGACTTTAGCTGCTAATGTTTTCCCTAAGCAACCCCACACTTGAGCACAATAATCGAAATAAGGTTGAATTATGGATTGGTATATTGTTATTAAGGTATTGAATTCGACTGTATCCCGGAGTCGTCTGAGAATAGCAAGGCCTGAAGTGACCTTTCTTGAAATGTGTTCGACCTGCGCGGTCCAGTCTAAAGACTCGTCTATCATTAGGCCCAATGATTTTGTCATTTCAACTCTCTTAATTTCTAAGTTACCTACACTGATAGCAGGATCGGCAGTCACTTGACTAAGCCTTTTCTTGGAACCAATTATCATATATTAATTTGTTTGCGGACAGCCAATCGTGGTCGTCCTCCTCGTCGTCGTCGTCCTCCTCGTGGTCGTCCTCCTCGTGGTCGTCCTCCTCGTCTTCCTCGTCGTCGTCGTCGTTCCTGTTGTTGTTGTTGTTCCTGTTGTTCCTGCTGCTGTTGTTGCTGCTGTTGTTGCTGTTGTTGTTCCTGTTGTTGTCGCTGTTGTTGTTGTTGTTGTTGTTGTTGTTGTTGTTGTTGTTGTTGTTGTTGTTGTTGTTGTTAGGGGGCGACGCTCTTTAAAAAACCCTAAGGCTCCGTCATTACTTGTCTGATCGGAATGAAATTTGACACAATTATTCTAAGCAATATTCCGCATCGATTGACGGTGTTCGATTTTCAATTTTTGACTTTAGAAGCAAGATACAAGCAATTTTTGACTGTATTCGTAGCAAATAATATATACATATGATTAATATTCAGCAAATATATCCGCAAACGATAAGAAAGACATTGTCTTGTCTATTGTTGTGAACACAATCACAATAGTCTAAAGATTCTCAAGAATGTGAACGGTTAATTATAACGATTAATTATAAGCGTTGAGTTGACTAAATTTAACACGCTGGCTTAGTTTCTCAAAGCGTAGAGGAGTAATATTGCTATCTGGCTGTCATATAATATTCATACTCCGATAGAAAATCGTGAACCGTAAAAACAAAGAGATGTAAATTTGTTTTTAGCACAAGCATGCAGTTATGAAGCCATGACTAAAGCCGGTTTTCCACTAGCGAATTTTTTCGCGCGAAGTGACCTTTTTCCTTTGTCGGCGTCCATTTTGCCACGTCTTGCTGACGTAATAAGTGATGCCGACAAAGGAAAAAGGTCGCTTCGCGCGAAAAATTTCGCTAGTGGAAAATCGGCTTAAGCGAGATGAAATTGCATTAACCTAGCAACAATTCAGATAATTTGTTACCTAACTTAAGCCCCGTAAACGGCACGTGCACGACTGTAGCTGCAATAGTTTGCAATTAATCCCACGCACGGCACGGCAAAATTTGACGTACGACAAAAGTTAGCTTAGGCACGGCATGTTTATTCTAAATATTGTGGGACATTTAACTTATCTATCGAATTCAAATGCGAGGAAATACTTTTTAGTTATCTATGCTTTGTCCAGATTTACACCTCACTTAGGCTATACACGGCACTAGACACATTTTGCCCGCATAAAGTATATCTTGCATGACCAAATTAAAGCAAAACATTTAGCGAACTCAGTCTACGTTGCCAACTTCGAGAACATTAGTTTCACAAGAGTCTATAGTTATTTGTTTATCAAGTCAAAATCTCTGATCGCAGGTCACGCAGTTCCTGGTCCACTATAGTACGATTGTACTTGTTGAAAAGATGGCGGATAGCAGAGGATACACAAAACAGTCAGTTCGGTTTACAGTGTTACCACCCCTTGTACAGAAGTGTTGCAGTAAGTATATTTTAAAATTATTCTAAAGTTAAAGTGAAGTAAAATATAGATAACCCATCTCAGCACTTTGTTTAAGATGTCACCAAATGCTTTCGCGTGCGAATTACCGCCAGCGCGATCTGGGAACGAGATTAATGATGTATTTGACCATCAATGATGTGCTCGACCGTCGACGGTTTTGAAATTTGCTTCGGCGCCTTGTTGTCTATATTTATATGTATATTTGTTTGGCGTTAAGTTTTATTGCTTGTATTCAAGCAATAGAAAAAAAAGAAGGAAAAAGCCAGAAAACTTAAGCACTGACACTGGTCTGCGTAAAATATGGCAAAGCCATGGCATTATTTAATGGGCAAGTGATTTCGGTGTACGTCAAGAGCAAGGGAAGTCACAAGTAAGTTTCCATGTGTATTTAGTGTCAAAGGGACTTCTAAACGGTATTTTTTCATTTCTATCACAATTTCAATCCGTTTTACATTAAATGCACATTGTTTTATCTTCAAACTTCGAGTTTATCCGCCAGATAGTGGATTTAAACTGACTTCGGATAAATTTATCCAACGGCTAGTTCGTTTTTATCCGTTGGATAGCGCTATCCTGCAAGCTTCGTACAACGCGATTTTCATTCCGGATATAATTTATCCACTGGATAGCGACTTATCCACTGGACAGGGTGTTTATAGCTACAGTCAAGAATTCCGCGTTAAACGCGGTTTTCCAAATTACTTTCAGTTCGCAATTTCCCAATTTAGGTCAGCCAAACAAATAGTCATAGATGCAACCAAAAAAGACGTTTCCGCTGTCAGCAAAACTTACCATGTATCAAAATGCGTACGTATGGTCAGCAAATGCGCAATGCTGTTGCCTAGCCCAGGCCACGTACCTATGTCCAGGTTTGTAATTACGCAGTAAATTCCGGTTCGGTTTTGCACAAAACAGTTAACCCGTCTTGTAAACTTCATTCTGCAATAAGTCTTCAACGCGGACGCTTGTGAGTAAGCAATAACCGTATTAGCTTTACTCTATCTTGGCTCAAAAGAAGAAGCTACACATATAGCTACGCTATTTAAAGTTAAAGTTTGATGCATACCAAAACAAAGCACATAGATAATAAGTTGTTTTTGCGCTAATAATACATTATAATGATATCAAGATACGATAAGTATCGTATCTTGATATCATTATAGTCGTATCGTGATATCATTGCATTGTACATATTTTACACCTGTATATATCCAAATTGTAACGTTGAGTTCGATTTATTCTACGCACCGTGTCTACCCCAAGTACATTCATTTGGATTCTGTTCAAATATTCGTTTCTATCCAGATGAAGTTACAAGACCTACCTTATCTTCACAAAGTAGAGGTAAATGCAGCAATATTTCCAATGGCTCAGTGTCGGCAGCCATTACAACAAATTCAGCAATGCCACGATTAACACACTTTGTTGCTACAGAAAATAAGTACATACTTTGGGTCACTGACAAATTTGAGCATGAAGATTACAATTCTGCAGTCCATTTATGGAAAAGATCTGTAGCCAGAGCTGACGCTAAAGGGGTGTGTGGAACACCTTCCCTCCCCCCCCAATCATCAGGTAGTCGGCAAAATATTGAATCCCACTCGGCAAAACATGGATTTGTTTAGAAAGAAATAAAATATTTCAGTGAGTGGTTAATGGTTGTAGTGACTCGGCAACGTTTGCCTTGATAACTCAGCAAAATCCACTTGCACCACCACCCACCACCACCCCAATTCAAAGAGGTCTAGCGCCACCCTTGAGATGACGAATTGATGATATCAACTCGGATCAGAAAATACACAAAACCAACCTTCATTAGCACCTTTCCTCAACTGTTTATAATTGGTTCCTTGCTGCACAAGGTCCAAAATTGTTACAGTTAACTGTGCATCAGCTAAAGGATAAGCTTTGGGATTTACTTCATCACTAGACTAAAGGAATGAAAAATTTTATTTAGTGGCCATTTACAAACAATCCAACTGTCCTGGTTTCACCAATCCAAATAGCTGCTCAAACATCGGGCTATTCACAACTTCATCATGGCACTTTAGCATTGCCACTTAAAATGTTAACACGATTGCATTGGCAGATGTGAATTGAAATCAACTGTTTTTTGCCAATAAACTCTTCAACTTGAGCTTCAACTTATTACTCGAACTTTGAAATGAAATAAATTTAATTCATACAGGACGCTAATGAAAATAATTTGCTTTCCTTTTTATCATGAACTTCTACAAAAGTTAATTTAGCTAAGAAACTTTTGCATACAATGCATAGGAAGGACAGACCAGATTGGAAAAAAGTTGTAACTTTATCTGTTTATATCCTCAATAAATAAAGTGTTATTATTATTATTATTATAGGAAAGACTTGAACAACAACAACAACAAAGTATATATAGTATATTTATTTAATACAAAGGCATACATAAACAATTGAAACAAACTTGCCCTATACTTTAGAATTTCTCATACTAAATCAATTCTTATAATTGTTTATGTTTAAAAATTGAAAAACATTTTACAATTTGTGATGTGAAATGATTTTCCAAGCCTTCTTACATGTATTTTTTATATTTTTGCTTTCTTCACTCCTGGCAAACAGCCATATTTTGAGATCAGTGATGACCACCCACCCAAAACTGAACCATGCACGGTAACCACCCCTGCAATCATTGAGGAACTTTCGACTTTGCTAATGTTTTCATTTCCCCGGGGGTAAATAGCTGGGCGGAATTAGTACCCTCGTCCGGGCTAATGCCTGGAATGGCACTTCACGCTGTTGGCTCAGGGATAATTCAAGCAATAATTTACATATTATTAATAATGAACAGCAACTCAAAAGTATTTATATCAAAAGGAAGACAATACCATGATCCATCCTAGGTCAAAACATTACAATAAATTTCAAAATCAAACAAAATATGACCAGCTATGAGCGAATATATGTAATACGAAATTTCCTTGAGATTGTTGCAGGCTCATTATTCAATGAGGTTGCCACACAGGCTACCACAGACCAGTTGCATAGCCAAGGGGGGCCGACCGCCCCCGCCACCAATCGCAAAAAAAAACATTATCTGAAAAAGGCTAAATCCGTAGAGAAATTGGGGGGCGGTACACGTTACATCCTCGAAGCAGAAACTGATTAAGAACGTCTCGACTGAGGAAAACGACGATATATTGGAGGAACTTGATTTGTAAAATCTCATTAAAGCAGACTTGTAGATATGGTTCCAAGAAGAATAGATTTAGTTTAGATTTATATGTATGCATTATCATAGCATGAATATTCTTCTCAGACTTATTCTGTATCGTAAAAAAAAAGCAACACAATTTTGAGAATGCGGAAATGCTGTCTCATAGAACTTAGAATGATTTAAATGCAACGTTTCTGATCAAAATCACATTGGGATTTTCTTCCCCCAGCATCACAGAGGGAAAATAAGGTGACGCTGACCGGCTCCTCCTGTTTTTCAAGGTGACTGTTCCAATTTATTTAATTCCGAGTAGAAAATTAGAAATGTCTGGGAAAATTTATGTCTTCTATGTACTTTATAATCTTCGGAGATCTACAAGATTTCACCCCCAAAATGGGTCGTTCCAGAAAAGATCCATACCCCCCACGGAGGAAATTTTTGCTGTCCGAAGGGGGAGGGAGGAAAAATGTCTTAGGATGTCCGAAGGGGGGGGAGAGGAAAAATGTCTTAGGATGTCCGAAGGGGGGGAGAGGAATGTGGATATGTTTGTCTGAAGGTTTGAGACTGTGATAAAGCTATCTGATCGGCGAATATAACGAGCACACAATTTTTATCGGCTATATGTAGCTCTTGAACACCGGAACGTTTATGTAACAGCAATAATTATACGTGCACGTAACTCGTAAGCAAAATAAGCCGCCCACTTTTGCATGCATGGCCACCAAAAACTAACTCGCTGTAACAGCGTATCCTGCATGTTGAGAATGAGTCGAAAATTGACACGCTTTATTTATATAGTTTGCAGTTTTCGTTCGTATATATATAATTATTCAAGTGTTAAAATAATAGTTATTAAACTGTTGCTCGAATTAAGAGACTGCTATGTGAACTGAACTCAAAACAATTTGTTTTAGTATATAGTCAATAAAGCTTCCTTGCGAGGTGCGTGTCTAGAAAATAGAAACGGCTGTTCATATTAAGGGCGAGGTTAAGGAATGCAGTAATACTAAAAAATGCATTAACATGTAAGTAAACATAGCAACGCTTGTCAATCAGTCGCAAGTTACATCGAATTTCAGTCCGAATTTTACTTGAACGAATTTCGAAGTGAATTTCTGCAAATTATCCGACAAAACCTGCCACGTGTTTGTGTTCGCAAGTCGCAAGAAGCCGCCAAGTGTTCCGCCACGCCGGAGCTATTTGAAAACAGCGTAGAAAAGTCACAATAAGCCATCGCTAATTCACTCTACGCTGGAGCGAAATCGTTTGAAAACTTTCACGTCACTTTTGCCGTAACAATTTGAGCACGGTGAAACGGAGCGAGGTGAAAACGGCGGAGCGCTTGATAGCTTCATGTGAACACAAACGTGTAAACTCGAATGCTTTTCAGTTAAATATCTTGGGTCTATTTGAAATATTTTGGGTTTACACTAGTGCTAATTCAATTTGTAAACAAACTGTAATGGCGGTAGTGTGAACACACGTAAATTCTGCCCGCATTAGTTCGCTCGCGCATAGTGTGAACGTAGTCTAATTTTCGGTGACGTTTTCAAACGGCGAGATAGCCTTTAGAAAAATTTAGAAATAGTGAATGTCCGAAGGGGAGGGGGGTAATTTTGGGCTTTGATGTCCGGAGAGGGGGGGAGGTTGAACCATTCAAGGATGTCCGAAAGGGGGGAGGGGGTTATTTTCGATTTCCTCCGTAGGGGGGGTATGGATCTTTTCTGGAATGACCCAATGCTTGAAATTGCATTTCAGGGACTCTAGATTTCAAAATTTTCCCAGACCCCCCTAGATCGTCTTGCGCCTTCAGCGTTCGCTTCGCCCCCCCCCCCAAAAAAAAATGAAGGTCTGGCTACGCCACTGCCACAGACTAGACATTAACCACCTCCTCCACCTGACTTGCCTTAGTTCCTATTTTGTCGCCTGGGCCTTTGCCGGAGTGTACGCCTGCACAGGCGTCTTGTATATAAACTAGGATTGTATTTTGACGTATTTATTCGGTATTAAAGTCTTTAATAAAATACTACGGTATGTTTTAAAATATTTTTCATTTGTATTTTGTATCTGTACTGTACTGTGATAGTTATTTTGGACATTAATTGTCAATTTGCCACGAGAAATTACTTAGAACCCCACTCATAATCTCGATTCGACCTTATTTGTGGCAACGTGAATATCAATGGCCCCTTATAAAGTCTTAACGAAACTTACGAAAGTAGGACGCAATGCAACTCCGACTCGTATAAATAGTATACCAGCATAATTTGGGTCACATAATTTCATCGATAGCGAATTTTATTGGGTAAAAGATTACATAAGATGTTACTTACCATTATTCAGATAGTTTATGGACCTCTCCGCTACTGAAAAAGCTTCACCGAGGCCAAGAAGAAAATGTAAAATAAGCCAGAAATAAAATTTAGAAACGTGCAAACCAAAACACGTGCAACAAATTTGGAAAAACTAAATTCAGTGTTTCCATTTTCAAAATCAAAATTTCTCATTTTTGTCATCAAAATTTCTCTAAATTCCTTAGATTGTATACGTTATTTCCTTGAAAATTCCTTGAAATTTCATTAGGCGGTTTGCAGACCTTTGCGCATGCAGTGTTTTTGTAGCAATACAAAGGATTTAATCAATTTTAAAGCAAGGCACAAAATAGCACAATTAACAAAGATAAATGCTAGCTAAAAAACCACAGGCTATTATATTGTTTAAAATTAAATATTTGTTATGAGTTTACAACATATACCTTTCCATTGATCTAAATAATTAATTATTCACAGCGTTCGGCGCCAAAAGAAACCAAATGGTGATCGCTAGATAGTATACTTCAAAATAAGGTTTCCGTTTTTATAACGTAGAAAAAAACTATCCTAACGCAAAACTAAACCCTAACCCTAAGAGCCATTGGATATTACTTCCGGAAGATCGTTTATGAAGACAGCAAAATGTATCGGACCCAGAATACTTCCTTGTGGCACACCGGAGACAACAGGAACCCAGCTTGATGGGACACCTTCGACAACAACTCTTTGGGTACGTCCGCTTAAATAATCACGAAACCAGTCGAGAAGACGCCCTGTAACGCCATATGACTTGAGTTTTCTTAGAAGTATTTGATGATCTACAGAATCAAAAGCTTTGGCAAAATCAAGGTAAATTATATCAGACTGAAGGTTTTTGTCAAGACACTGACCAACAGAGTGAAGAACTTGGACAAGCTGAGTGATACACGAACGATTTCTAAGAAAACCATGTTGTGATGGTGTGATGAGGTGAATGACGTGATCATAGAATCTCCTGGAAACACAACGTTCCAAAACTTTGCTGATGATAGGCAGGAGGAAAATCGGTCTGTAATTTTCAACGGGTTCTTTAAGGTCTTTCTTGTGAATAGGTGTAACATCAGCTGATTTCCATTCTGAGGGAAGGCGCCCAGTGCGTAGCGAATGATTGAACAGGTCACAAATGCTAGGTGCGATTTGGTGACTACATTCCTTTAGAATTCTTGCTGGAGTGCCATCTGGGCCGCTTGCCTTAGAGATGTCCAGATTATACAGACACGCAGCAACTTCTTCCGTTGTTAAGGTTATATCAGATATTTGGGTATCGGGATCAAAAGAGTCTATGTTATTGTCAGTGTCAGTGGTGGATTTTGATGGTACAAACACAGATGAGAAGTATGAATTAAAAAGTTCAGCTTTCTCTGCTGGAGTTTTGGCTGTAATATCTTTGTAAGTAACAACCGCGTTGTGTTGTTCCTTATGGTGTAGAATAGCTTTATGGTAGCTCCAGAAAAACTTCGGGTTTTTGTTGAACGAACTTTCGACTCTTTCTAGATATTCGCGATGTTTTTTTCTGATCAAACTCTTGATGTTTTGACTTATACAACGCAACTTTTGCTTACGGATGACGGATCTATTCTGGCGGAATTTCTTGAGTGCAGCGTATTTCTTACGGACAAGATGACGAACTTCGCCGTCAATCCATTGGGGGGAATTTATGTCTTTAATGGTTTTAATAGGGACGAATTTATTCACAGCCGTCAAGAATAAGTCTTTCCAATTCGACCAGTATTGGACAATATCATCCGAGAAAGCGTTCTCAAACGGTACATTGGACAAGCAGCTACGCAAACCTTCAAAGTTTGCCATTTTGTAGTTGTAAATTCGACGTTTGACATTCCTACAGTAGCTCGCTTAAATTTAAGTTTGATCTGAAATTCGACGATATAATGATCGGTTGGAAATTTGCACTGTTCGGGAGTAGATGTTTCGACATTGGTAATAATTTCAGGACAGTTACTTAGAAGAAGGTCAAGTTTATTGCCACAGTTGTGGGTAGGACCAAGAATGAATTGCTGTAGGAAATTATCATCAAACAGATCGCAGAAACTGTTTTCCAGTTGACCTCCGGCCGTAGTAGGGATTTGTTCATCGAATGTAGTCCAGTCAAGTGCGGGAAGATTGAAGTCTCCTACCAAAACAATACAGCTAGATTCGCTTGTATTCTGAAGTGATGAACTAAGGTGATGGAAAACTTCGGGGCCTGAAACAGGAGGACGATAAAACGTATACAGGATTACAGGTTTACTGTTCGTGTTATTAAGTTCCACTACAACTAGTTCGATTTCATTTCTTTCGAGATCTGGCCGTCTAGTCGCATGCAGATTGGCTTTCACGGCAACAAGCACTCCGCCCCCAACCTTTTCAACTCTATCTCGGCGAAAGACACTATATCCAGGCAGCAGCTCGCTGCTTATAATTGAGTCATTGAGCCAAGTTTCGCAAATGCAGATGATGTCATAGGACCCACTATGAATTAGTTCCTGTAACAAAGTGATCTTGCAGACTTTAGCAGAAGAATCATCATTAAATGGCACAAAAGCTTTAAGACTTCGCGCGTTCAGATAAATGGCATTGAGTTCATTACTAGTGTGTTCAGTCGAAGTTCCAGGTCCTGGATTTGTAGCAACGTCTCCAGATAATAATATTAGCAGGAATAAGTGTAGATTATTCTTCTTTATTTTGAACTCCAAGCCATAACGATATTTAGAAGACATTGCACATTTTCTTAATACGACATCACGTGTAGATGTCCAAATGTAGCTCAATCTGTCCGGTATTGATGTTAGTTTCGATGAAATGACGATATTTCCAGGCATTGAAGTGTTGTTGTGGTGAGGTAGTGCAGTTTTAGATCTTTTTAATAACCAAAAACTTACTGCCAGAATCAAAAACCATTTAGCCATTGAATTGAACAAGATTCGATGGGTATTATAATTCATTGTAGTGACAATTTGTTCGTGTATGATTGGATTAATTGATTCTAATTGACTGTCTTGACCGCACGAAAACTCGTTATAGGTGATCAAATTACGTCAGCATACAATCACGTCCGCGCTGGCGATTGTCAACGATATTTCTTGCAAACAGCAATTGAAAGACACAAAAACCACGATGATATATGAACTTATTAATAAGAAGAAGTACTTAAAACCGTTTGCAAACCTCAAATACTCGTAGACTATACTTTTATTCACCACATTCCAACAAATTTTACTGAAATCTTGTGTTCTTGATGGAAAAAAATGCAAACTTTTGCGGAGCGCCCAGCGTGCGTGCGCACGCTAACGCGCGATGACGAAGGGGTTCTCCATCTTGAATACAAATTACAACACTAGAATTGCTGAAGCAGAACAGAATAACAACGTTGTTCATAATTCTGGATACAACAAGTTTCTGCCCCGTTTTTGCTTAATGAATGTCCGATCTTTGCTGCCGAAAATTGACGAACTGTCTGCCTTTGTGTCATCTACCCCAATGGACATCATTGCCATTACTGAATCGTGGTTAATTAAACGAAGACATTGATAATAATATTTTATCTATCAATGGCTTTAATATACACCGAATGACAGGTCTACTGGCGTGGTGTTTGTGCGTACATATCTTCGCATATCCCCTCAAAAAGAAGGCAAGATCTCGACAATTCTGCTTATGAATGTATGTGGGTTTGGCTTCGCCCTTACCGCCTCCCACGTCCGTTGTCCGGGATAATGTTAGGCATTGTTTATTGTCCTCCGGGCGCAACTGCACAGAAACAGAACGATCTTGTCGAATATATTATTGGTAGTGTAGACCTGGTTCGATCTGCACATCCTGATTGTGGTATTGTTATCTCAGGCAACTTTAATTGCTTAGATATCACTGATATTTTGACAAACCATAATCTTAAACAGGTCGTTCAAGATCCAACCAGAGGTAACAATATATTAGACCTAATTGTGAGTAACTTATCTCATCTGTACCGTGCGCCGGATATTTCCGCCCCTCTCGGCAGATCTGACCATAATACTATCATGTGGTCTGCAGACTCCAGTTGTGCTAATAATCGAGTCAGGTCGCGCGCAACAAAATGTTATGTGCGTCGCTTCACACAATCATCATGTGAGGCCTTCGGTAGGTGGTGCAGTACTCATGAGTGGTTCACAGACATCCAGGAACCCGTCAGTGCTACTAACCTGACTGTGTCTTTCACGAGCTTCATTCAGCTATCGACCAGCTCTTTCCGACCAAATTAATCAAAATCCACGATACTGACAAACCGTAAATGTCACCTATCCTGAAGCAACTTATTATGAAGAGACAAAGAGCCTTCCATAGCGGCGATGAAGCGTTTTGGCGTCATTATAGGAACATAATACAATATGAGATTCGTTCACGGAAACACACGTATTATGTTAATAAGGTCCAACACCTAAAATCTTCTAATCCTAAGAAATGGTGGGACTGTGTCAAACAAATGTCTGGAAAAAAGAAGGCGTCATCTATGCCTATTAATATTATCAAGGACGGCGTTGCTCTTTCCGGGACCAACCTTGCTAATGTAGTAAACGACCATTTCCTGTCAATCATTGCTGATATTCCACCCCTCGATCTTTGTTCCTACCAGCTTACTTACCCGCTCCTCAGCCGGTTCCAATAATTACACCTATTGAGGTCTGTCATAAACTCCTCAAAGTCAAGCCTTTTAAATCACATGGCCTGGACGGTATTCCTAACCGCGTAATTAAAGAATTTGCATACGAACTAGCTGAACCAGTGTGTATCATCTTTAATGAGTATCTTCAAGCATAGTCCCATCTGATTGGAAGGACGCTAGTATAACTCCTACTCCTAAAACTCAGTCTGTATGTTGTGAGGACGAACTCCGTCCCATCGCCCTTACCCCATGCTTATCCAAGATCCTTGAAGACTTCGTCGTAAGATGGATGATGGATGATATCAGAAGCAAAATAGACCCCATGCAGTTTGGCAATCTAAAGGGATCATCCGCAAGTTTTTGTTTGATTGATATGGTGAATAATTCGCCGAGTACCCTTGACGCCCCCACGCACTATCTTAGAGTATGCTTTTTAGACTTCAGTAAGGCGTTTGACCGGATAAATCACAACATCCTCATTGGAAA